CCCCCCCCCCCCCCCCCGCCCAGCTCCGACCCGGCCGGGCTCTGCGGCGGCCAGGCCAGTCTTCCCCCCCGCCCGGCTCCGAGGCAGAGGTGGCGGCGGAGAGGCCGGTCCTCCCCTCCCTTGCCAGGCTCGGCGGCGGCGAGGCCGGCTGCAGAGCGTCCCCTGCGCACGCGCAGGGGGCGCTCTGTCAGTTTCGGGGGGATTTAAACATCCCCCCGATATTTGTTTTCAGGTTTCGTATTTTTATGCACACCTGGGGACCGCCCCAAGTGTGCACAAACCTCCCCCTCCCCCCCAGGTGCCCCCAAAGTGCTGATTTAAGTATCCGCACGGAGGGGGCAACTTCAGTATTAGTATAAGGATATGGGGTTTCACTCTCTCTAATAGCAGATTTACACCTTGAGAATGCTGTTAGGTGTAGCCCTTACTCTGAAAGCTCATTCAGAAAGCATTCAAGGCAGAAGGTACTAACCAGGCTGATGTACAAATGTGGTCTCAGTTGGACAGAAGTAGCCTGGAAATGAAATGACAGTTTTTTCACAAATGGTATCTTCAAGCCATCTGCTGATTACATTGCCAAGGACTGGCAACAGTACCAAAACTGTGGGTATGGCAATCTTAAGACTCCTACCCAGACATAAATTTCTACTGTTAAACAAAAGCAACAAAGCTTACTTCAATGGGTATTCACAAATTTATGCAAAATGGGATATAATCCACTGAAAGTAATATAAAATTTGGAGAATGTGACTACTGTGTGAATATTATGCTTAAAGAAATTTTAAACAAGATCTTCTCAGGAATAGTTGCTTCTCTTACCTTTTTCTTGTCTCTCATGGACCCCTTGCCTCGGACCATGATCTTACATCCTGTTTCAGCCTCAAGTTGTTTAGCTGTTAGTCCTCTAGGCCCAAGGATTCTTCCAACAAAATTAAACTGAAATTAAAAAAAAAAACAGTCTTAAAATACTGTTTAAAAGTACTGTCTTAAAATACTGTAATAACTTGGTGTTCTAGAAACATTATTGTGTAACTATACTACTATTAGGACCAAACTCATGAAAAAAGCACAATTCATCAATTTTAGCTCTTTATCATCTTTTTATCTCATCTCTTTTCCTAGGAGCTCAGGGCACTGTAGGTTCTGTCTTCTCCTACTTTATTCTCACAGCCAGGGTTAGGTGGCAGAATGGCCTAAGGCCACCCACAGTGAGCTTCACAGCAAAGAGGAGATTTGAACACAGTCCTTACCTTTCTACTCTGATACGAACCACTATGCCACACTACAGCATACACTCCTCAAGCCAAATAAAACCAAGCTTGTATTGTGGCTGCTTCTTACTTTCCTATATAAGAGCAAGGGTACAAACTGGCTCCCCATACAGAAGGAACTGTGGTACAATATAATCTCTACAATGGTATGACAACTGATTTCAGACTCTGTCCCCATTTTCAGCACAGGTAGCAAAAGATAACCATCCTGAACAAAACAAAAGCAGGACACAGTTCTACAACTTGAGAAGATGCCTTTCACTTTAATTGGCTACAGTTAGACAGACCAAGGGCAAACGAATTTTGAACTAGACAAGTTCCCTTTGATCTAAATTTTCTTCAAAAGCTAACATTACATAAGGAATAGAATAAGCATCATATTACAGTTCCAAAATGGCAGGAAAAATGACATATTCATTTTAAAGCAGGCAATACTACCTCTCCATTAAACCATGCTCTACAACAATACTATCAAGGGTTTTCAGGAGAGCTTCCAAAAATAGTTTAAAGTATTAGGTAGGTAGGTAAAATTTTATTCTATGAAGTCAAAGGCCATAACAATATGATAGCTGCCCAAGCAGTAATAAATATTACAATAAAAACACAACATTAAAAACAATGTTTAAATTGTCATGACCAGGACAGAACAGAGGATACAGCATGTCGAACATCAGGGTGGAGGTTTTGCACAAATCTCCTTGGCAGCCAGTGCATACAGTGATATCATATAGGTGACATAATGATCATTATCAGATAAGAGGTAGATGATTTTGTCTGCCACTGAATGCGAGGCCAGCCTGGCTAAACTGGCTGCAAGGAACTTGGCCCTGGGAACCAAGTAAAGGTCACAAAACGGCATAATGGAGATCCTCCAATTCTAGGGCTCCACTGATAAATACTCACTGAGCAACTGGTGTATGCTGATAATGGCCAACTAACATGGTGGTTGTCTTTGTTTGAAATCTAAGGGCTGTAAAGGCTTCTCTAAGTTTGTGGAAGGTGATGCTGGACAAATATTTATTTCCACAACGGGCCTTATTTCTAGTCTATATATATTTTAGAAATGATTTGGAAAATATTTGAACACCTTGTCTTAAAACGTTTTATTCATCATGTTAAAATAAAACATTCCATAATCAATTTTTTCCTTTTCTTTTCTTTTTTCAATTTTTCCAATTTTTCAGGAAAAAACAAAAAGGCTTCAGGAAAAAAAACGTGTGTGTGTGTGGGGGGGGGGAAATGGTTTTCCCCTGAATTTTTCCGGTTTTTTTCCGGGCCTTCACATCTCTAACTGTATCACCAGAAAATCTGAGTAATGATATAATAGAGCTGGGTATCATCCGTATATTGATGACAACCAATCTCAAGACTGCAACTGATTTGTCCTAATGGCTTTACTTAGAGATTGAAAAGCACCAGGGATAGAACTGCATGCTGTGGAACTCCACAAGATAACTGGTTTCCAGTAGCAACCCTTTGAGTCCGATCCATGAAGAATAATTTGAACCAGCTTAGTGTGCATCCTGATACCTACTTCTCCCTCCAAGCACTTCAACAAGATGGTATAATCTTACTGTATGAAAGGCTGCAGATAATTTCAATAAGCCTTTGTCTACACCTAACCTTCCCCTGGTATTAGGAACATCCTGAATCTACTGCCCATCAACTTCATTGGATGCCCTCAAGTTCTGGTATTTTGGGAGAGGGGAAAGAGCTCTCTCTGTCCACTCCCTCTATCCCATGCATAATTGTGTAAACCTCCATCACGTCCACCCTTAGTCATCTCTTAACTAAACTGAAAAGCCCCGGAGTCTTTAGCTTTTCCTCATAGGAAAGGAGCTCCAACCCCCTAATAATCTTTTCTGTACTGTTTTCAGCTCTGCAATGTCCTTTATGAGATACAGTGACCAGAATGGTATACAGTACTCCAAATGAGTCTGCATCACAGATCTATATAGGGGCATTACATTACTGAAAACAAAAGCAGGGGGGAAATTAATTTAACCCAAACCAAACTGAATTAAGTACCTGAAAGTTAAGAAAATATAAATGTATAGGCCCAATAAAAAGGTAAAGGTTTCCCTTGCTTGAAAGCCAGTCGAATCTGACTCTAGGGGGCGGTGCTGATCTCTGTTTCCAAGCCAAAAAGCCAGCGCTGTCCAAAGACATTTCCATGGTCACGTGGCCAGCGTGACTAAACGGCGAGGCGCACAGAACGCTGTTCCCTTCCCACCAAAATGGTACCTATTTATCTACTTGCAATTTCTTAATTTCTAACTGCTAAATTGGCAGGAGCTGGGGCCAGAGATGGGCGCTCACTCTGTCACGTGGCACTGGGATCTCAAACTGCCGAACTATAGACCTTCTAGTATGCAGCTCAGTGTCTTAACCTCTGAACCACCGCGGCCCCTAGGCCTAATAATACTGTTGATCATATTAAAAATTAATAAATATTAACAGATGCAGAAAAATATGCATTATTTATTTCACAGTTGATCAAAAACAGATATTGGCCTTCACAATAGCCCCAGCCCAGTTATCACTGATAATGTACAATAACATCCAAAAGTGACAAATATTGACCCTGGCCAGATGCATTTTGGCCCAATTGGCCAAATCAGTGGTCACACATTACAACATGGCTCTTGACATAGTAATACATTCATTTATTATAAGCTGACCAAGATGAAGCTGTTCTCATAATTATCGTCTATGACCAAAGGCCAGGATATTAATCAAAAGCCTCATTCTTGAGAGTTCACCGCCATAGTCAGGTACATGTTCCTACTGCAATGACTCAACTGTGTACTTTTCTCACTTGGTCAGAAGAATTCAGTACAGCCAAGAGCCAACAGTGATGACCTGGCTGTACTGTAGTGATGATAAATCATCAGGTAAAACATATTTACATACTAGCCAACAATCTTCTCTGAGCATAATGTTATTTTCACTCAGCTGTTTATAAGTGTTATCACTGAAAAACACATAGTGTAAAAAACCCCTGCATGCTGGGAGAACAGCTCACTACCAACTACAAGTCAAGCCACATTATCACCTCAAATGTAAACATTTTCATGGCAGGACTGACTCAGTAAGACATCTATTTTTGTACTATACCTGTCACAAAGGAGATTTTACATCATGATAATATAGATCATGGAAAAATTTGTTCACTAATTACTTGAGGTATAATCAAAGTACTTACCATAGAAATAGCTACAAAGTTAATGCTTTTGAGACACTGTACAACTGGTACATTAAACAAGCATGATCTAGCCAGAGTCTCAAGTCTCTTGTTTCAGTGGGACAAAATTATAAACACACATAACTCTCCAATTACTTCATGCCTAAAAATGCCTTCAGGTTGGAAGGTGTCCAATATGCTACTGGGGAAGAGCAGAGGGCAAGTACAAGTAACCCCAGAAAGAGTGAAGCGGCTGGGCCAAAGCCGAAAGGACGCTCAGCTGTGGATGTGTCTGATTGGTGAAAGGAGTCCGATGCTGCAAAGAACAATACTACATAAGAACCTGGAATGTAAGATCTATGAAACAAGGTAAGCTTGACGTGGTCAAAAATGAGATGGCAAGACTGAACATTGATATCTTAGGAATCAGTGAACTAAAGTGGACAGGAATGGGCGAATTTAACTCAGAAGACCATTTATCTACTACTGTGGCCAGGAATCTCGTACAAAAAATGATGTGGCCTTTATAGTCAACAAGAGAGTGCAAAAGTCAGTACTGGGATACAATCTCAAAATTCCAAGGCAAACCATTCAACAGCACAGTAATCCAAGTCTATGCCCCAACCACTGATGCAGAAGAGGCTGAAGTGGACCGGTTCTATGAAGACCTACAACACCTCACAGAACTAACACCAAAAAATGATGTCCTTATCATCATAGGGGACTGGAATGCTAAAGTAGGAAGTCAAAAGGTAACCGGAATAACAGACAAGTTTGGCCTTGGAAAGCAAAATGAAGCAGGGCAAAGGTTAACAGAGTTTTGTCAAGAGAACACACTGGTCATAGCAAACACCCATTTCCAACAACCTAAGAGGCGACTCTACACATGGACATCACCAGATGGG